GTACCAATTTAAATGAAACAAACATTGCTTGTACACAAAACAAATTAATCGTATTAAGTTATAATTAATTTCATGAATTTGTTATAGTATTCAAGAATTAATGACAATAAATATAGCATCTTGTAGCAAATATCAAAAATCTATATACCTATTAAAAGAAGAACCAAGAGTATTCAGGTGACATCATGAGAATTAAGTATTGGAGTGTTGATGAAAGGTGGTTGAGTTTGAGGTATCCTACATTGGTGAAAGATTGAAAGATTGAAATAAGGAGGTGTCTATAAGAAAGAATGATGAGAGTCATTGTTTCAACTCATGAGTCTTGACTCATAAGGTTATCTTATTTGGATGACCATATCTTTTTAAAACAAATCTTACATTGTGTCAACTCATGAGCTTTGAGTCATGTGGTTATCTTATTTCAATGACCCTATTTTTTCAAAACAAATCTTATTATATATATATATATATATATGTATGTGTGTGTGTGTGTGTGTATATATATATATATATATATATATATATAAGGGCTTAATCAAATGAGAATTGATTAATTTGTGGTAACTGTGAGATCCAATCTCAACCACAAATCAACGAATAAATTGGAAAATTAATAATTATGGTAGTTTGAGTTAAAATTATAATTAGAATGCATTTTAGGTATTTTTTAAAAACTTCTCTCTCCTCTTTTCTCTCTCCTCTCTCATCTCTCCTCTTTCATGTCTCCGACCTCCGGTGAACAAAAATCCGGCAGGTACCAAGTAATAACAAAGATATGATACTCATTGTGATATACAGTGGTACTCAAATGGTATCACATTATATCACAATGGATATCACAATATATCACAATGAGTATCACATTGTGTATCTTTGTGATTATTTGGTACATGCCAGATTTTTGTTCACCGGAGGCCGGAGATTGGAGATCAGAGAGATGAGAGATGAAAGATGAGAGAGGAGAGAGAAGAGAGAAGTTTTTTAAAAATACCTAAAATGCCCTCTAATTACAATTATAACTCAAATTACCATAATTATTAATTTCCTAATTTATCCGTTGATTTGTGGTTGAGATTAGATCTTACAGTTACCACAAACTAATCAGTGCTCTCTTGAATGGGATCAGATCATATATATATATATATATAAGAACCAAGAGGTAATTAAGTGCATCATGAGAATTAAGTATTGAAATGTTGGTGAATTGTAGTTGAGTTTCAGATATCTCACTTTGATGAAAGATTGAAGATTGGAATAAAGATATGTGTATAAGAAAAAAAAATGAAATTCATTGCATCAACTTAAAAGGCTTAACTCATAAAGTTAACTTATTTTGATGACTCTCTTTTGCGAAACAAATCTTATTATATAAAAACAAATTGTGTTTATAATCATCAATATATGTATATGTATATGTATGTATATATATATATATATATATATGGGGGGGTGTGTGTGTATCAATCTTTTTTATATAAAAATAATATCCACAAGAAATGATGTGACACCCTAAGAATTGAGTATTCTATATTTCTTGCATAGAGATTATGTTTTGTGTATTTTACATTGATGGAAAGATGAAAGATTGACAATTGATGGTGAGTGTATGAGATGAGGTTGATGTGTCTTTGTTTTAACTCATGGGGTTTGATTCTATTGACTAATCCTATAAACTCATTTTGGCTAACCCTCCAAACTCATGGGGTTAGTTTATTTTGGCCAACCCTTTGTAAAAAAGTCATCTTTATAAAAAAATCTTTATATATATAGGGCTCTCTCTATATAAGTAACATTTACAAGAAATGATGTGTCACCCTAAGGATTGAATATTATATATTTCTTATATTGGGGTTGAATTTGTGTATCCCATATTGATGGAGAGATAAAAGATCGACAATTGATGGTAGGTATATAAGAGGAGGTTGATGTGTCTTTATTTTAACTCACGAGGTTGGTTCTTTGGCTAATCCTATAAACTCATATCACTGGTTCATGTTGGCTAACCCTCTAAACTCATGGGGTTTGTTCATTTTGACGAACCCTCTATTTGCAAAAAAATTATCTATATAAAAAAAAATCAATATATCAATACAAAAAAAAGGCTATAAAATAATAAGATGACATCATTAAAACCAAATATTTTAAATTTCTTGCATTATGGTTGGATTTTGGTATCTACATTGATTAGAAATTGATACGTCAATGAGCAAAATGAGTATATAAGAGAAATATGAGTTCCATCTGAAAATTAAAAGGTTCATTTGGCTATATAAACCATATGTATCTTTAAATGTTTGGAGCAATTGTCTAAACTCACGTGGTTGGATCATTTTGACTGAACTTCTAAATATATGTGGTTGACTCATTTTGGTCAACCCTATTTTTATGAAAAAATTAATCTATACTAAATATTAATTGAAGAGATAATTTTAATATGTTTTTGACATTAAGAAGCGGAATCGTTGATGCGGCACCCTAATAATTGAATATTCTTCAATCTTGAATTGTGATTGAGTTTTATATATCCCACACTGATTTAAAATTGAAAGATTGACAAAAATGTTGGATATGTAAAATGAGGTCGAAATGCCTTTGTGACAACTAATGAGGTTGGTTCATCTTGGTTGATTTTCTTAACACCTGTGGTTAGAGCATTTTGGCCGACCCTCCAAACACATGGGGTTGGTTCATTTTGCCCCACTCTCTTTTTGCAAGAAGGTTTAGTCAATATTAAAAATTAATTATATATATAATTTTTATTCTTTTTATATTTAAAAGTAGAACCACAACCATCAATGTGACACCCTAAGATTGAGTATTCTTTAATCTTGAATTGTGATTGAGTTTTGTCTATCTCATATTGATAGGTAGATAAAAGATTGACACTAACTGATAGATATATAAAGGAAGATTGAGATGTCTCTGTGGCAATTCATAAGGATGACTCCCTTGAATAATTCTCTAAACTCATAGTGCTTAATTTATTTGGCTGACCCTCCTAACATATGATTTTTGGTTAATCATCTTTTTACAAAAAAAAAAATCTATATTAAAAGTTAAATTAATTTAATTAATATATAATGCGATAAGGTATTGATGTGACAAATTAGAATTTAATATTTTCAAATCATGAATTGTAGTTGAATTTGACTTGAATCTTAATCCATATTAATGAAAAAAGAAATTACTGAAAAACAATTAAGTATATGAAACGAGAAGGGATGCCTTGAAATATTGGAAGGGTTACAAATGCATTATGAAAATTTAGTATTTTCAATTTTGAAGTATAGAGATATTTATGTGGTTCATAATTTTTTGTATATTACTTGGCATGTGTTATGATCACCATGCAATGCATGGTGCCGAGCATTAGTATGGTTTAAAGTTTACAACTGAAAATATGAAACACACATTTTATCATTTTTCAACAGATCGGTGATAATTTATTTAAATAAAGTATTAAAAGTTAAAATCATGAATAAATTAATTCAACTCTAATAACTAGGGTAGCTGTCGAAGATGGAAGGTGAGGGTGGTACCGAAAATGGAGAAACCGGCTGTCGGAGATGGAGAAACCGGCTGCCGAAGATGGATAAGACGTTTTGGATGTGTTTGTGTGTGTATATATATATATGTATGTATATATTATTAAAGAATATTATATATTAATTTCTGAAGAAAAAAATATAGGAAACAAATAAAAATACTAAAATGCCTCTAAACATAAAAAAAAATTAACAGACTTAAGTGGAGGGACAACTTTCAACGCAATATATAAACGATAAGGATATTCATTGTAATTATTGAAATATAAGGACCACTTTCAATGTTTCGTGTAAATCATAGAGACCAAAAATATAGTTTACTATTCTTTATATCATTAAAATACTCAACATATTAATAAATTACTAAAGTGTATTTGTGTAATACAGTGAGATACATCTTGATTTTAATATTTTATTTTATTTTTTATCTCAATCGACGTTATAATATAGTCTTATGTGATTTTGAAAAAAACAATAGTGTTTTTATTTTTGAATAAAATATAAATTTAAAAATATCATAAAAATTTGACAAAAATATATCGATATTAGTATCAAATTAACTATTTAAAATTTCTTATTTTTTTGTGTAATTTTTTAATTCAATTTTTTATTAAAATTTAGTTTAGGTTCAATAACGAAGTAATTTATATTTGGTTTATTTTTTATAAAGATAATAGTTAATTATATTTTATATTTTAAAATGAGATGCTTATTTTCTATTTGATTATGTTTATTTCCAGATAGTTAGACAAATTCAAACATCGAGTTTTAATAAATTATACTGACGCACAATTTACTTGTAATCTTGAATTTTAAGTATTATGCATCAATAAACAGTATTGTGTGCATCAAAAATGATTTTTAAGAGTTTTTATCAAATGTTTTGTAATATAATATAAATTATTTTTTCTATATTAAACATTTAATTTTTCAAAGCCTTTTATGTTAGAAAAATCGAGTTTTAAAAATTTCTATAAATTCAAGAAATTTCTCATTTATTTTCTCTATTTTACCATAAACCCTAAATATAAGAGCAAAAAATAATTATAAATCCCATTAACCATTAAATCTAAAAAAAATCTAGACATAAATGTTACAGCTCCAATAATCGTGCATTTAAATGTAACAGTCCATATTTTATTTACACACTTTTTAGGTACATATTTGAACTAAAAGCTTTATAAACCGTATAATAATTTTAATTATATTATTTTTTATTTAAATAATTAAATCATACAAAAAAACCATATTAAGATAATTAATAATGTTATTTGACATTAAATATTTACTTCATTGACTTTTTTTAATCAGAAATGAAAACATTTATTACAATAAAATTTAAAAATATCTAATAATTACTACAATTACAAGAATATTAATTCGTAAATGATGAAAAATATTTGGTTAAAAAATTGGAAATAAAAAGGAAAGAGGGAGGTGGGTTCTTTTAGGTTTCGATGTGTATGAGCGGATAAGAACGAACCACCCCTCTCTTTCACCCTCACTTTTTTTCCTACAACTATCCTTGCATTCATCGCCGCTTCGTTTTCTAAAACCCCATTCAAATCTTTTTCATCACCCTCAAACTGGAAACCAACTTTGTTCGTGAAATCAAACCTAAGAACCGACGAATTATGGTAAGTTTATGTGATATTTGATTCATTTTGTTTCAAGTGTGTGTTTGATTTGTTTTGTTGTTCAGTTTTTGAATTGTGGGTTGATGATAATGTAGGGTGTGGGAGGACCTGTTGAAGAAGAAAACAAATGGCCGCCATGGTTGAAACCTCTGCTTCGTGAGAGCTTCTTTGTTCAATGCAAATTGCATGCTGATTCACACAAATCCGAATGTAATATGTACTGTTTGGATTGCATAAATGGCCCTCTGTGTTCACTGTGTCTCAATCGTCATGAGGACCACCGCGCCATTCAGGTATTACTTCTTCATGCTTTTTAACCATTTTTGAATTCCAACATCTCTATTCCCAATAACACCTTTTTCCAACGAATTTTGAATTTCTAAACAAATTCCATTTGATCATCTGGGTTTTACCCAATTCGAATACAATCATCTGGGTTCTCACCAAATTTGACTTTTACTCGGTTTTCTTAACCAATTTTGAAATTTTGTTTTTCTTCTATATTGGGGGTAATCGTTTTTGTGATTAATTTGCAGATACGGAGATCATCATATCATGATGTGATTAGGGTATCTGAGATTCAGAAGTTCTTGGACATCAGTTCAGTTCAGACTTACATTATCAACAGTGCAAAGGTTGTGTTCTTGAACGAACGACCACAGCCAAGGCCAGGCAAAGGTGTTACAAACACTTGTGAAGTTTGTGAGCGTAGCCTTCTCGATTCATTCCGATTCTGTTCACTTGGCTGCAAGGTAAATATCATCAATTTAATTTGGGGGAAAATGCTGAATTTGATTTACAAATGTCATTTCCGCTTTAAATTGGTTCACCTACTCCTCTGTTTCGTGGTTGACTTGAGGTCTTTATGTGTATTCCCCTGAATGGTGGTCACTCGCCATTATTTCTGATTACCTTTTTCTATTGGGTGATGATTGGACATGGTTTTAATTTCAACCATGGAACTGGGTCTTTGTGGGTTTTTTTGAAGATGATCACAAATTTGACTTTTTGATGACCACCATGAGTGGGAATATTATGCCAATATGGAGATTGAATGATTGATTGTTTGAAGTTCAATGAAAAAATCCAAATGAGATTCTTTTTTTCCTTTTTTGCATATTTTCTTGATTATTGAATGAATTCATGTTCATGATGGGCACAGATTGTTGGGACGTCCAAGAATTTCGAAAGGACGATGAAGATTTCGCCGGAGAAGAAGCATCTGATAATGGCGGTGTCTGATTCAGAGGATTCATACAGCAGTGGCAACCATCTTCGGCAGCGGAATAACACCAGAATTCAAAGCTTTACTCCGTCAACGCCACCTCCGACCGCCGCAAGCTTCAGAACAGCAAAGAGGAGAAAGGGTATTCCCCACAGAGCACCAATGGGAGGACTAATCATAGAATGTTAAACCAACCAGTCAAACCAGTCCCTAAGCTTTTACTTAATTACTCAAAGGTCCCTCTTTTACCAACTCCTTATCAAATCCAACCACTCCTCACATTTCCAAAACACAAGTGCTTTTTACCTTAAAAAGCCTGTGTGTGGAATTACCCTTTAAGCCTTGTATTTTGTACAAAGAAGCAGCATATAGGATATAGTAATGGAATAGACACTCTTGGAATAGAAGGGCAAAATTGTAAAAAGACTAAAAAAATAAGGTTTGAAAATGTCAAATATTTGGGCTATAGAATAAGCTTTTCATTTTTTTTTCTTTTGTTTGAAAATGTAATTATGGTGTTATTGTATGGTTTAGAAGGATATGAATGATGCCAATGTACTCTTATGAAATATAAAAAAAGTGAAGCCTATAATGGGAATAAATAAGTTGTATATTTACTTCTTGTGGTGCCTATCTTCATTTCGATACTTGTGTTAGTGGGTGGTTTGTGGTGCTAATCTTGATGGACATTATGGTATCTTAAACATTTTTAATTCATACTTATGTCACCTTAAAATTATTAAATTGTCCATTAGCATATTTATTAAGGGGCCGTTTGGTTTGCGGAATTGGAAGGAGACCAAATTTCAATCCATTTGTTTGGTTCATTTCTTGAAATGGATAAAATCCCCTAAATTTCATTGAATTCCACATGTTAATGAATTTATCATTCCTTGGCATAATAGAAGGAATTGAATTCCATCACCAACCACCACGACCATGCTACTATTGTTCATCATGCCCCACGCTTAACCCCCACCACCACACCACTATCGTTGCCCCCMCCCCCCCTACCCCAYCACTAACCACCATGCCACTACTGTTGTCACCACACCCACCCACCCTCAGTCACTCAGTGCATATCCCTACTACGACCATGCTACTATTATTACTGTCACGCCCCTAACCTAACCTCCACCACCACACCATTATTGTCGTCATTACAACTGCCACTCACCCCACCCCACCCCAACCCAACCCAACCCAACCCACTACTAACTACCATGCCACTACTGTCGCCGTTATACCCACCCACTCCCATCCACTCGACCACCATCGTCATGACAGCTACCACCCTGCCACCCATCCCCCCGCCCCGTCTTGCCACCCTGCCCTGCCCCTAACCTAACCCCCACCCCCACACTACTATTGTCGCCTTCACAATTGTCACTCACTCGCACCTCACCCTACCCCAACCCACCACTAAACATCGTGCTACTATTGTTGTCGTCATACCCACCCACTCCCAAGACCCAGCCACCCGGCCACTATCCCACCACTATTATCGTCACAACTAGGGGTGCTCAAAAACCCGATGAACCCGACCAACCCAACCCGAATTTAAAAAAAAAAAAAACCCAACCCGAGGTAACCCGATGCATGATCGATAAAAAAATTAGCCAACCCGACCTTATTGGGTTGGAATCGGGTTAGGCCCAAAAAAACCCGACAACCCGACAACCCGATGAACCCGACCTTAACTTTAGCTTTGAATTGTAGATGACAATCATGACATGACCAACCTCAACGTCAAGAAAACGAAAGCATCGGGATTGGAAACGTCTAAAACTATTGTTGTTGATTGATGTATTATCATTTGGTTTAAACATTTTTATTGTAATATCTAAATATTTGATGAACTTGCATATTATCTTGAATGGTTGGTCGTATTTCAAAGGAAAGTTTTCTTTATTTTTATGTGATTTTACATTGTTTAAACACAACCCGATCAACCCGAACGGGTTGGGTTGGGTTGAACTTTTGTTTGGGTTGGGTTGGGTTGGGTTGAAAATTTTCAAACCGCCAACATTGGGTTGGGTTGTTAAAACGGCTCCAAACCGATCAACCTAGGCCGTGAGCACCCCTAGTCACAACTACCACCCTGCTACCTACCCAACTGTCTTGTCCCACCCCCGCCCCACATTACCCTACTCCAACCCACTACTAACCACTATCCTCCACTATAGTCGTCACAACTACCACCCACTACCCCACTCTTGCCCCACCCCCCCACCGCCCCCAACAATCCCCACATATAGAGCAAGGGTAGGGCAGGAGTGGTGGGGAGAAGTTGGGATGGTGGGGTAGTGTTTGGTAAGGGTGGGGTGGGGTGGGGTGGGGTGGGGCAAGGAGATAGATGTGACGATGACAGTAGTGACATGGTGGTTGGTCGGGTATAGGCAGGCTGATGGGTGCGATAGTCCAAACAAAGACGATTGTTCCAATTCTTTTGAGAGATTTCATTCTAATTCCTATCAACCAAACGCATAGTCAAATTCCATTAGAATTCCTTCATAGTCAAATTTCTTTGATGGATTCCAATTCCATCAAATTCCATTTTGTGAACCAAACATCTCCTAAGAGTTAAGTAGATTCCCAAGCACTTGTTCATTTGTTTACTGTAAGAGGAAAAATAAGCATTTGAAAGGTACACCTTCTTGATTTTGAAGAGGGCTCTCAAATATTTTGAAACCAAATTTATACCAAACATCAAACATGGGTGAGATGGTTGGATCTATTAAATTTCCCTCCCCAACCCATGGCATAGTCCTATTTAACTCGAACGACCTTCATCAAAAGGATATATGTACCCGAAACCGACACAGGTCGGTAAACGTCCTACAAATTATAGATGTTATCACTAAAAATATTAACAATAAATATACAATCGAACTCACAACCTCAAGATAGTCATAACTTACTACTACACCAGGGGCAGTTTCTTGTTTATTCTATTATTTTTCTCTATGATTTATTTTTCTTTTTATTGCAAATTCATCTTAACAGTCATTTTTTAATCTCTTTTTCAAGATAACATACATTTATTTCAAAGGTTAAGGTCGATTCCATTTGAAAAAATATATTTTATTCCCAAAATTGATACGATCGACTTTCCTCCTGATCAAACCACTACTTTATGAACTCTTGATTTAGCTTAAAGTTATACTCGTTCAAAAATGTTCTTGGGTCCGCGATTGATTTAAAGCATCCATAACAAAGGAGTTTTTCAATATGTTTTTTTATATGAAACCTATATGTAAAAACCCTACTGCTTAACGGACAAGAAAAAAGGTGAATTTTTTTTTGCCAATGGCTTTTCATAAGTGACCAGTAGGCTACCTAAAAAGCTTTCCAATAAACTTGATTGGGGATGATATTATATGATATGGGTGAAATCAATCTAAAAATCGAATTAAATATCATATTAGCATACAAACATCAATGTTCATCATTGGTTAATTGAAATGTAATCAAACGTAAAAGAATACAATAAATCATTATCAGACGGTGATATTTAGGTGTATATTGGTTTATATGTGAGTCCTAACATTGATTCACATATGAATCTTAATCATAACTTATAACCGAGCTTCTGAATTCATTTAAGATTCATATGTAAATATCTTAATCTTAACATAGGTTCACATGTAAATCTTAAATATAACTTATACATTAATCAATTTACAATTTATAATCAAGATACTGAACCAGTTTAAGATTCACATGTGAATCTTAAAATTTATAGACTAAATTACACTTTTGGTCCTCATGGTTGTCACTCACTATAAAATTTGATCCCTCACCAAAGGGCCTTTGGCTTAGCGATATCATAGTTTTTGGTCTCATAGAAGGTTATGGGTTCAAACCTCACAAAAAGGTGAGAAATGTGTGTGAATTTATTTGCTGCTTTTGCCGTATATAAATATTAATACTTCAAAAAATAAATTTGGTCCCTCTTTTAAACTAATTACAATTTTGGTCACCGTGTTTGCCATTTTGTTCCACATTTGGTCCCTCTGACTAGCTATAGTTAGATAGGTTAGTTAACTTCTTTGTATTTTTCTTTCTTTTTTTGTTTTATTTGATCAAAGATTAAACTAGGGGCGCTCAAAAACTCGACCAACCCAATCAACCTAACCTAACGCGAAATAACTCAACCCGAAGCAACCTGATTTGAGTTGTTAAATTTTCAAACTGCAAGTATTTGGTTGATATTAGGTTAGTATTATTTGAACTCAATCCAACCTGATGAACCCAATATTCTTTTATTTCTTGGATTTAATATGATTGTTGAATCTCTATTAATATATACATTAGACAATATCATGTACGCTCTTCATATACACATATTTTCAATCTATTTACATTTTTATATAACTCATTCAATAACTGTGAACATATATATGTAAATTGAAAAAATTAACTGAATGTGATATACGTAAGAAGTATGTGTATCAAATGGTTGATGATAAAAAAGAAATTATAAGTAGAGAAATAACATATTCAAGGTTAGAAAATTATTTTAATGTATAAAAGTATCAAACCGACCAACCCGTACGGTTTGGGTTAGGTTGCATTGCACTTTAGTTTGGGTTAAGATTTTTCAAACCGCAAGCATTGTATTAAATTGTTCAAATGTCTTCAACCCGATCAATGCAACCCATGAGCACCCTTATATTAAACTACAAATTTAGTCCCTATGGTTTATTTTTTTTCCTTTCTATTTTTGTCTTTTCTACCAATTCATTTTTCATTTTATACTTCTTATTATATTAGTTAATTAATGACAAATTTAACTAAAAATACATTAAAAATATGATTTTTATTTTGTAAATTACACCTTTATAATTAATTAAGAATCGTATTTTAATGTATTTAACTAAATTTGTAATTTACTCTATGTGTCCAGTTGTGTCATGTTCAGTCTTATCCAATCATGTTTGCGTACCAAACATAACTTTAGGGTCGAATTACAGTATTTGGAAAGTGTACCACACATGATTCTTGAGTTTTATCCAGTCCTATTTCATCTTTACTACCCTCTGTTTCTAACATTTTAGTGAGGCTGCAAATCAAAACTTAGAAAAAGAAAATGATTTTATACTTCGTCCGACGTTTCAATTAATATACTAATACAATAAAAATATCTGTTAAATATATATAACTCACAATTCTTGATGCATAAGATACTCTTTAAATATATTCTACAAGGTAGGCATATCAAAATGTCGACATCTTCGGAGAGATGGGAGTATTTATTATTTATGGTGTTATGATTACAAAAACTCTTTATTTTAGATAATCTTTAACGATCATGTTATTTAAAAGAATTTAACATTTAGAAAAATTACTCCAGCAGTTATGTTAAACTATCATTTAAAATAAAGATTAATCATATTGTATCTGTTAAAGTTTTAGGATTAAAAATCTGATAAGACATTTGATTCGCAAAATGTAATCTGATAAAATTGAAATGGAATTCTATGAATTTAAATCTGGTTGACAAAAATTAATTTGAAATCTTTAAGCAGAACTAGTTGACCATGACAGACCTTGAGGAGGGGGGGCTTGAGACACAGGTAATATAGTAAGCTGGGGTGTTTTGGGGGTTATTGTCTTT